TTGTTAGCCGTTGGGTCGGCCCATTAAGATCATCCTCGTCCGCTCGTACCTCAGCGCAATAGGCGTTGTGGATTTCCTCCTATGTGGTAGGGGGATATTTCATGAGGCGGCTTAGTAGCTTCTTGGTTGCCCTCGAACCATCCCTGTTTAGCCCGTTCTGGAAAGCGGCGACTGCCATACCTTCCGATACGTTTGGTAGACTCATCCTTACCCTATTAAACCTGGCTAGGAAGTCCCTGAGTCCCTCCCCTGCGGTTTGCCTGATGGCGAAGATGTCGTTGACCCTTGCTTCCGCTTTCTTTGCACCTGCATGGGCGGTGACGAACTTATCCGCCATTTCCTCGAACGTTGATATCGCCTTAGCTGGTAGCTGAGAGTACCACGTTAGGGCCCCTCCTGTCAACGTCTCACCAAACTTCTTCAGCAGCACCGATGGTACCGGTTCTTTTGATAGGTCGTTGCCCTTTACAGCAGTGACGTAGTGGATTAAATGATCCTCGGGATCTGTGGTTCCGTCATATACCTTCAAGTAGGGTGGCATTTTGAAGGTTTTTGGGATAGGGTGAGGGGCAGCTTCTTCAGTGTATGGTTGTTCAACGAACCTCCCCACGTCGCGTTTTGGTAGCAACTTGGGAGCGCCAGGGATCTTGTCTACCCTCTCCTGATGTTCTTTCATTTGGCCGCGGAGTGCCTTGTTTTCATTCTCCGTTTCTTCCATCTTCTTTAGGATGGCTGTTAGCGTGCCATCGTTGGTCTGTGCCTCGATGGGTTTGTTATTTGCTCGTGCAGCTTCAGGTTCACCCATGGCAGCAGTGGTTCCTACCGTTGGTATACACCTGTCGCTACCCTGCGGTGACTTCTCAACCAAGCCACTTAGAGTGCTTGTTAGCCATTCTTCCAGTAGCTTCTTGACCACCGAGGGTGCTTCCTTAGCCACAGATATGGAAGCTCCTTTTTCATGCAAGATCGTCAAATCTTCGGATGGGGAAGATGAGATCTCTGCACCTGGCGTGATGCTAGGGGTTGCATTCAGGATGCCCTCGTCACCGGCCTCGTTGAGAGGATCAAGGAGATTGGCTGTAACACCCATTATCGCTTTCATTCTGGTGTTATTTTCAGCCATATTTTATTTTCGTGTGGTGTAGAGAATGGTAGTTGGTTGCTCTCTAGGTGGATACTATGATTTTGATTCTCGAAATCCCCACAAACGGCGCCAAATTGTTTGGCTCAAAAGTTATCGATATACTTTGCAAGCTTAAAAACAATCAAAAGTAAGAAAGGGTAAATCGTAATCAAATATAATAGACCTAGAGATGAAAAATGAAGTTGTTGTTGTAGATCTAATAGTGATAATATGAACTCAAGAGAAAGTATTCGTTATAGATAGTGATAGAGAGAGAGTATGAGAAAATGAGAGCCTTGTATTCTTTCAGAATCCCCCCCCCCCCCTTACAATGTGAAGGTCTCCCTTATATAATAAGAGACCTTCCTCGAAATAATAAAAAAGTTACAAAAATAGGTAATGTTTTCCTAGTGAAGACACTGAATCCTAAACGATGTCGCTTTTGTCCCCACGTCCAAGTCGTACCCTTACGTTAGTCGGCGTATATTCACTGGGCGTACCCATTGGCGTAGAGACGCTGACGGTCAAATTTGACCCTATACAGTATCTATAGAATATAATTGTTAAAAATGATATTTATTTAAAATAAATAAGGTATTAACCTTTGCTATAGAAAAGTAAAAAACCTGCTGTAAAAATTATGGGGCTTATGGTACTGCTTTTGACAGGTGTGGCCCAATTCAAGAAAGTGATAGGTGGTTAAATTAGGAATGCTTACGTCCATATTGAAAGTAATTAATTGAATATGCAACTGTTTCGACTAATTTATGCATAAAAAATAATTAGGCAATGAACAATAGCCAAGAATGACTCAATGCTATTTCTAGCCGTTAAACACGCGCGCGTATATATATATATATATATATATATATAATAACAACAACAACAACCCAGTGAAATTCCACTAGTGGATCTGGGGAGGGTAGTGTGTACGCAGACCTTACTCCTACCCTGAGGGGGTAGAGAGGCTGTTTCCGAAAGACCCTCGGCTCAAGAAGGCAAAAAGAAGACGAAAAGAGGCAATCTATCAGTACCATCAATAGAAATCATATTCCGATATATTATATATCGAAATATAATATATTACATTAATATAATATAAAATTTAAAAGCCTTTCACAATTTAAAATACATTGTTCTTTGAAAAGTTCAATTTTTATTTCTAAAATTTAAATCGGAATTATCTTTGAAATAGGAAAAAAACGCATAAAGTTATGTTTTGAAAAAAAAAATCTGACCAAAATATTCTACACAAAACCAAAAAAATATTTAAAAGACCAAAAAAAACTAACCAAAAATTGTTCTTTCAGAATAAGTTTAATAGAAACAAAACCAAAATCAAATTGAAATTAAGCAAAGAAGACCAAGGGACACACCTTTGTTGATACTCGTGGGAATAAAGTTACTTAAGTTTGGACAATCTTCTTAAAAAAAAAACTATAAATGTCCACGCACCAAAATAGAGTTTAAAAATATTAGGCTTAATCTGTTTTACTCCTCTCGTTAATATTTGAACTTAGTCACTTTTAAAGGATGCGTTTATGCTAATGTTGCGATAAAATTATGAAAACGGGTGAATAGGAGTTTGGATGCTTACATGTTTTTCTTGAATTTGTAAAAATAAAAGGTACATAGAAACAATAGTACTTCAATAATTCTAATTATAGAACAAAACATTCTGGTTAAGATGCAACCATGATTCCATTTGAAGGCATAAGAAAGCCCAAAAAGTTAGTTTTTATTAACGAAACGTCTGAGGGCATCTACTCTAATAAAAGATTAATGTAGGGTGAGAAGGGATTGTAGAAGGATACAGTGTACTATATCTTATAAGAAAACCATACAATTACAAAATAGGACTTAAAAGTGGTATCATTAACTCAACAGCCACAAAATTGACAAAGTAAAAAATGGCAACTTTAAGGGTAATAGTTTTGGAAACTTGAATATAATGTGAGGCCGACAAAATCTTTGGGTTATTCCTTATTAATAATAGTAATGTGAAGAATAAACTTGCAATATTATAAAGAAAATATAAAGTACAAGATAGTATTATTATATAAAAAGGTAGGGTAGAGGATAAAATAGAATTATTTAATAATAAGGAAGATGAGAGAAAAAAATAAGCTAATTGACATGACCACACCAAATCGATCGTTCTATAAAGTGGCGCTTTTCATCATTGCATAACGAAGAATTTAACGATACGATACAATAAAACTTAAGTAACAACAACATTGTATTTAAAGTAACAATACGATACAATACAACATGTAACAACCATCCAAAAAGAAGCTGTAAAAAGCTCAAAATATTAAATGCAAAGTTTGAATCCTAAATTTGTACTCTCTCCAGTCTACTTTAATTGATTTTTTTGACCTTTTTTTATGTGGTTCATAGTATTTGATTTTTTCAGATATCAAAAAGAAATTAACTTCTTTTTTTTCAAAGTTGCCCTTGGTGTAAAGTGTCTTGGAATGTATATTATATTTCTAATGAACAAATTAAAGAGATAGTAAATATTAATATAGTCAATTTCATTATTAAATAATAAAAGGTGAATTTCTTAGTATGTGTGATAACAACCAAAAAATAAATTAAAATTAGGGTTTTTCGTGAAAGATTTAAATTCAAACGAACGGCACACGCAATTCTACAGTACATAACAAAAGAACGCCATGATAAACTTTTTATATGTATTGATACATCAAGTTGAGGACTATTGAAATTTAGTCAAGAAAAGTGATAATATTGTATTCTTCAAGTTGGAAGAAGATATCTTATTTGCTGATGTAATGAACCTAGAAAAAAAGACAACGACAGATCAACTATTACTAGATTCTCACGTTCAAAAGTGAGAAGCTCAACAAAAGTTTGTTCATTGACACAACGCAAAGATGTCGGTTACTTGTATATAAAAGTATTATCATGCCGGCTGCCTACAACTAATTATGAAAATTTTTATTTTGTGTCACACACGATTGATACTAGTTGTGTGGGGCCTCTTTTTTGTCTCATAACTGTGTGGTTCTAGAATTTTTGTGGACCCAGATATATAAGATATGGATCCACAAATATGTGAGATAAAAAGAAGCCTCACACAACTAGTGTAAGTCTCACACAACTAATGTAAGTTGTGTGAGACACAAAATAAAATCACTCAACTAATTATTAATTACGCATTGGGAACTGCAAGTTGGAGTCGATTATCGTACGATTAAGGACTTTTCTTTTGAAACTAGAATATTTTAAGATTATAATTGTGAGATTATAACTATGATTAACTTGTCTCACCTTTTATTTTAGATAAGTTATATCAAAATTTGGTATGATATTTCCAATCAAACACAAGATAAACTTGAAAGTACAAAAGGGAGGTGAAGTGTATATTTTTAATCTTAATCTCTATTAGTTGACTGATTTTTCAATTAGTCGACTGGATGCAATAACATAACAGTTATAATAGCAGAATATAAAACGCAGAAAGTAAGTGCAGGAATTAAAGACACCAGAATTTTTATACTGGTTCGGATCAATGTGAATCCTAGTCCAGTCCCCTTGGGTTGCAAGAGAGTTATCTTTAGTAAATGCGTTTCTTTGAGTACAATGGAATTGACGTGATAGCTCAGTTCCTATAACACTCGTCTCTTTTGATGCAATGCCTCACCAGTGTTATACTCTCCTCTTTCTCTGACTTGTTACACAGCAGGTCTCAAAGAACTACAATGTTTGTTTGCAGTAGAATAAAGAGAGGATTTTTGGTTCGATCGAAGTATGTCTGTCTAAGGCTGGATGCTGAGTACAAATATTTTGGTGAAGTCCTTTTGCTGACGAGATTTAACAACACAAGAGATTTGATCCTTGGAAAGAGAATGATTCTTTCCAAGAATAAGATTGCTAGCCGTTGCTCTTCCTTGATGAGAGAAGATTGATCGCAAATTGATCGCTTTCCTTCTACAGCTGTTGATGATGAGGGTTTACTCCTTGATTGTTGGTCCTTCCACAATTGGCAGCTCAGCTAATCTTCTTTCAGAATCCGGATTGAATGTGCTGGCCTTGATTGTTGCCTTAAGTTTAGAGATTCTTTCCATCGCAGTTGTCCATGATCTTTGCTGATCGATTTGTAATCTTTGCTAATTGATTTGTTTCCTTAAGCATCCAGATTGACTTGAGCAATCTCGTAGTAGCTCCTTGATTCCTTGATCTTCTCTGATTGATTTCCTGCACAAATATATTATTTGCATCACTAAAATTAGATCTAACAAAACTTAATCCTAACATGTTTATTGAGATAAGCCACATATTCCCTTGAATCAAACCCCTTAAGAATGGCAACGGTATAATAGAGTTACAGTCGCGGGTGAGTTTAAGCCTATGTGGGCAGCGCACCAACACATTTGCTATGGAGCCAGAAGTTACTGGGTCTGGATTCTAGCATTTTTTTTTATGTTACTGGATCTTAAAATAAAAATTTGTACTTATTCAATAAATTTCTTAAGACAAATATAGGATTTGCGCTAAAGTTATTGGGTTCGACCGAGACCCGTTACTGAAGCTCTAGCTCCGCCCTTGTTTGCTGTGTGGAGGCGACTGTAGGGCCCTACGGACGCTCTACGCTCAATCATTCCGAAGAATGCTTGCATTCTCTGTATTACCGCAATTATTAGCACAGAGTTAGCCAATACTTATTCTCCAAATATCGTCTACTTCTTCTCCGGGAAAAGAAGTGCACTACCTGTGGGTCTTCTATCTCCATGCATGAAATAAAAGTAGTAAATGGCTTTCCTTAAGCCAATATGTAGCTGGATTAATAGTAGGCATGACGTGGCAAAACTCTGGACGGTGTTTTTTCTTTTTCTCCATAAAATTTGGACCGTTGACCATTCACGGGTTTTAAGCAAAATGAAGAGATAAAAACGTCAAGTTGCAAGTGTTCACAGCTCAGGGCGTAGAATTTGGTACGCATAACTCGTCGGACCTGACTTGGTTCCGCGTCAGTAGGTCCCATCCTTTCCAATTAACTGGATTTGCTATACACGTAAAGCTGACTCATCTTAAGCTTCTTCCACATTTTTTGCCATTTTCAGTAGCAGCGCGTGTTTCTCATTTCAGTTCAGGTTACAAGTTTTTGACCCGATATAACTCTTGCTTGGATACTACTTCAAAATAAAGAAAAATATTAGTTGAAAATCTAAACTTTAAGAATATTTCTGGTGGAATAATAAGGATGGTGCAAATTGAATTGTATTCAAACACGAACTTAAAGAAAAAAATTACTAAAGTTAAAATTTAAAAATCTCAGTTCAGATGCTTTTCTATATTTTACTTGAAATCAAATATGTTCAAGTTAAAATCCGATTTTCATATTATTATTTGTAAATCATAGTGTCTGGAATATTGAAATAATTACTCCATCTGTCTCAATTTATGTGACACTTTTCAGTTATCGAAATTCAAACTATTTTAATTTTAATTAATATTTTAAAATATATTTTTTTATCATATTGACATGAGAAAAATTACAACTTATAGTACTTTTAGAATATTTTTTGAATATCTTAAAATAATGAGTTGATATAATTCATATTAAATTTAAATTAATTAGATTGACTTTCAAGAATAAAAAATTATCAAATAAATGAGAAAATATGGAGTACTTATAGTCAAACCAGCCTACATGTGGGACATGTCTTGCAGCTCTTTCTCGTGTCAAAATTGATGTACTCATGAAATTACAAACAAAACGTGAGACTTTGTTTTATCCTTAAATAGAGAATCCGGGTCAGTACCCAACTGTGTTCGGGTTTACCAGCCTTTGGTTGTCTTAGCACGCGCCACATTGAAAGCGTGAAACGAACGGTTACGTGAATGATAATCGTTTCAACGCGTCTTTAGAGATAACATATAAAATAGCTGTTGAAGCTCAGATTTTCAATTAAGGACTCTAGGGATTTTCACGTAAGGACTCCAAACATTCCAATTGTCATTTAAGGACTATTTTATCTTACGTTTCAGACTTTAGATTTTCACTTTAAGGACTCAATAGATTTTCTATTAAGGACTCCAAATATTCCAATTCTCAGGAAAGGACATTTTTATCTGACGTGGAAAACTTTTGATTTTCAGTTAAGGACTCCATAGATTTTCACTTAAGGACTCCAAATATTTCAATTCTCAGGGAAGGACTTTTTTATCGTACTATAAATAGCCACATTTTCAACACCTTTTACACAACACAATTTCATAAGCAATTTGCGTTATTTGCCTAGTTGCACTTTTGGCCTATTGTCGTTTCTTGAAATTTATCCTTTTTTCATTTACTTGAAATTTTTTGGGAAGATGACTATCCTCATTGAGCAGCCTGAATTTGGTATGTTCTAAAATTCTTTTTCTTCTTTTCTTATATATTAAGAAGACTTTTATTATCAAGAAGTACACTAATTATAATACACATTATATGGGATTTTTTAAATTCTAATCCTTTTTGGCCAGGTTTGCAAGTAGAGGAGAAACAAATCCCACACGATACCAATGAGCTTATTTTGGATGGTGGATTTGTGGTACCAAAGCAATTGTCTTGTGACGGTGGATTTGAAGTGCCAGAAATCAATTCATTTGGCCAATCATTTAGGTATTTGGATTTTGTTTTTGCTTTTGTTTAATTTATTACTTCTATTCTTCTTTTTTTTTTTAAAAAAATTTCATACGATATCCGACATTCATATTAGGTCCACTAAATCCAGATTTACAATAAAGAGTCACACCCAGTGATATAATTTGTAACCTCTGATTAAGAATGAATCAGTGCTTACTGCTCTATCTAACTCTTAGTTGGTTACTTTTACTCATTATGTTCATTCATTGTTTATTTGTTTATTGTTTATAGTTTCATGCAAATGTCATCCACAAAACAAAAGTAAAAGAAAATGAAAAGTGACTAATTTAATATGAAATTGTTGAACAGGGATTATAATGCAGAAAGTGAGAGACAGAAGACAGTGGAAGAATTCTATAGAGTCCAACATATCAACCAAACATATGACTACGTAAGTGCTTATAAACGCCTTTCAACAAAAAAAAAAAAAAAAGAGAAGAAAATTACAAGACAAATTCTCTAATCATCTTTTTTCATATTCCAAAACGTTTTTAAATGTAAATGTAGGATTAACATTTAATGAAAATGATTAATTGCAAATTGATCAGGTTAAGAAAATGAGGGAAAAATATGGGAAGTTGGACAAAGTGGAAATGAGTATTTGGGAATGCTGTGAGCTATTGAATGATGTGGTGGATGACAGTGACCCTGACTTGGACGAACCCCAAATTGAGCACTTATTGCAGACGGCTGAGGCTATTAGAAAAGACTATCCAAATGATGATTGGCTTCACTTGACTGCCCTCGTTCATGGTATGTGCTACTCCCTCCGCCCCTATTTATATGGCAGTATTTGATTAGACACAAAATATATATATTTAAAAAAATTATAAAAGAATAACTTTTGAATTTTATTGTCTAAAACAAGTGAGATGTATGGTTATAAATTACTCCCTTCGGTTCACAATAAGTGTTCAATTTGCCTTTTCATTTTGGTTCAAAATAAGTGTCTTATGTAATCAAGAAAGAATTCAATTTGTTTTTACAAAATAACCCCTATGTACATATCCCTAAAAAGTTTTCTTACTCCTCACATTAAATGTTTAATTAGGGGTAGTTTAGTCATAGTAGGTATTTTTGTATAGAATTTAATATTTTCTTAATGGGCGTGCTAAAAGCAAATTGGACACTTATTGTGAACCGGAGGGAGTATTTCATTAAGACTAAAATGAATAGTATTAAATTAAATTATTTAGCCGAGGGTCTACCGAAAACAGTCTCTCTATCTTTAAGGTAGAGATTAAGTTTGCGTACACACTATCCTCTTCAAATCCAACTTGTAAAAATATATTGAGTTTGTTACTGTTGTTGTATAAATTAAAAAAATATGATAATTTTTGGGGCCGAATTTTGTATGCAGCACTTATAGAGAGGTGCATGCATAAAAGTTTGAAACTTTTTTCTTATCTAATCTTAAGTATAAACTAGAAAGAGAAGTATGTCACCTAAATTAGGGTAGAGGGAGTATACTATTGTTATTCATTTTCAAGACAATAAAGACCTACTTTTGTTATAGTTTTATAGTATAATTTTATTAGGAAAAATGACACTGTATAGCCGTTGTAAAAATAATATATATACAAAAATTCATACAAATTTTATACACTTTTTCAGCTATCAAATGTAAATTGGTGCGGGCTAAAAGTGATAATACCCCATTTTATTAAGCATATTAGTATATACCCCATTTATATCCTTTTCATCCTGCTTTACGAGTTACTTATGCTATAAGCATGTACTACTTTCTTTATTTTATTTTATTTTATTTTATTTTGTTTTGTTTCTCATAATGCAATATAATATGGACTACAGATCTTGGAAAAGTACTACTACTTCCTAGCTTTGGGGAGCTACCTCAATGGGCTGTTGTTGGAGATACGTTCCCATTAGGTTGTGCTTTTGATGAATCAATTGTTCACCATAAGGTAAAACTTTCTTTAATTTTCTTCTACTAAAATGTCTTCCTTTGACAAATGTAAAGTAAAACACATGATTAATTAATTAAGAGAAATATAATATATATTTTTAGCCTTTTCAAAAAATAATAGACAATAATATTTTTTACATATGTATATTATATACATATATTATATATTTGTTCTGGCTAGCGAATGCAATCAGTTTCGGTTGACAGAACAATTTTGTATTTTGCCCATTAATTAACATATGCATTTTTCTATGCAGTACTTTAAGGAAAATCCAGACACCAAAAACCCTCAATACAACACCAAAAATGGTGTATACAAAGAAGGCTGTGGACTTGACAACGTTGTTATGTCATGGGGGCATGATGATTATATGTATTTGGTTGCAAAGGAAAATGGAACTACTCTTCCTTCTGCTGCTTTGTTTGTCATTCGTTACCACTCTTTCTATGGTAAATATTCTTTAATGTTTGAGTGATTATTTAATGTTTATTTGAACTAAGATTAATTAAAATGTTGTAAAATTGCAGCGTTACATAGAGCAGGAGTATACACACACTTGATGAATGAGGAAGATAGAGAGAACATGAAGTGGCTTAAAATTTTCAAGTAATTATATTCTTCTACACTTTTAATAGCTCTAAAATAGTATAAATTACAGTTTTATAAGATGACTTACAAAAATTTAAAAATATATGTGCAGCAAATACGATTTGTACAGCAAGAGCAAAGTTAGAATTGATGTAGAAAAGGTCAAGCCATACTACATCTCCCTCATTGAAAAGGTGAATAATGCTCTAATTGGCTACTATAACTTAATCTATTTTTCAGTAATATATTGATTTCATTAAAATATTTCATGGCTAATGGATTTTCCTTTTCCTTCGTCGCAATGCAGTATTTTCCAGCAAAGCTCAGATGGTGACTGTTTGAGTTGTAATGAGAAAGTTGTGGCAAAGAGAGGCATTTTAGTAGTAGTGGATTAAGTGTATAAAAATGAGTAAAATTTTCAAACATAGGCCTCTAATTCACCACTGTTGTTATTAAAATTATTTGTGCTTTGGCCACTTTTCTGTTTCTGAAAATGTATTTCTTTATTTAATTCTTTAATAAATGAAATTTTCATAAATGCATTGGATATATGCATATCTCGTTTTTTATTTTTTTATATAACTTCTCAGTGCATCTACGCATATCTATGCATACAAAACTGTTGTTACCGAAAAGGAAATAAATAAAGAATTTTTTTCGGAGAAGGAGAAAATATGAGAATTATCTAACCAATTAGAAATACAAAAATGATATTGTGATGATAATTGAAAAGCCATCCCATGAATTCAGCCTTGGATAGAGGAGGCTATAAGTATGTAACTCAACATCACAAAAGAAATCCCGAATTAACCATTTAATCAATAACAATTATTTTTAACTCTTTAATTAATCAAATATCTCATAATGTAAGTCTAAATGAACAGTGCGGAATAAATACACAAGTCCGACATCGGGGTGTCACAAGTCCTGAGCATCTACTAAGGTCTGAATACAACTAAGAGTCTAAAAATGTACTGCATACAGTCTAAGGAGACAAGAGGGAGAAAAGCAGTGCTGCGAACGTCGGGCAGCTACCTTGCTAACTCCAATGACTCTGCCACTGAGCAATCAACACCCGCTACCGGGTGCAGAACTACTTGAATCTGCACACAAGGTGCAGGGAGTAATGTGAGTACGCCAACTCGGTAAGTAATAAAAGTAAAGGCAGCTGAGCGATAAGAAAACACGTAAATACACAACAAAATGCTACAATGAGGCATTGTAAAACCAGTACAATACAGTAAAAAAGTGAAAGATCATAAAAACTTCTTAGTTCAGTAAAACCTCTTTAAAACATCTTTCAGCAGTTCAAACGAGAGAATGAAAACAAGTAGAAAAGATAAAAACACAAATAAGCCCCTCGGGCAAAATACCAACAGAACCAGCCCCCTCATGCTATCTCACAATCACTCGTACCTGCCCCTCGGGCAATAACATGGAACAACATCAGCCCCTCGGGCTATATCACATCACAAACTGGGTACCCACGCTCACTAGGGGTGTACAGACTCCGGGAGGGGCCGCTTACGGCCCAAGCGCAATAACAAGCCATCTCGTGGCATAATCAAACAGGCTCTCGGCCTCATATCCATAACAAGCCACCTCGTGGCATAACAAATCTGGCCATCGGCCTCTCATATATCATAATCAGTACCACATGATGCGGCGCGCAGCTTGATCCCATAGTATCCTCACAACACAGGCCCTCGGCCTTACTCAGTCAGAATCTCACAAGCCACACGGGCAACAGTTTAACATGATGCTCAACCCAAAATATCATTTAAAATATAAAAAACGAGTAAAGATGGCTGAGTTGTGAAAACAGTAGAATATAACATGACTGAATACAAATACTAAGTCAAACAGTGAGGAATAGTAGTAAAATCCCCTAAGGGTCCAAACAGTTGGCACGAGGCCCAAATATGGCATTTAGCCCAAACACAATAATGTTTTCCAAAATACAACAATATCAAATAGTTTTCAAGTAAAATACGCGACTTAATAGTCGTACGGGATGGACCAAGTCACAATCCCCAACGGTGCATGACCCCACGCTCGTCATCTAGCGTGTGCGTCACCTCAAAATAGCACAACGATGTAAAATCTGGGGTTTCATACCCTCAGGACAGTATTTACAATCATTACTTACCTCTATCCGGTCCAAACTCTAGCCCGCGATGCCTTTGCCTTTCGTCTCGGCCTAAACTCGCGTCGAATCTAACCAAAATCAGAATCATGACGTCAAAATATGCTAAGGGAACGAAACCCGTGCGAAAATAATCAAATTACGACACGAATCCCGAAATTAACCAAACCCGACCCTCGGTCCCACGTCTCGGAATCCGACAAAATTAACATCAACGGAATCTTTATCTTCCCACGAGTTCATGCATATCAAATTTACCAAAATCCAACCACAATTGACCCCTCAAATCCCAAATTATAGGTCTCCAATTCCAAGCCTTAGTTTTTTCAATATTTACCCACAAATTTCCATAAATTTCAAGCCTAATAAATGAAATAACACCATAGGAACGAGTTTTAGGTTCAAAAAATATTACCTCAATGAAGTTCCCTCTGATTCCCTCTTCAAAATCTCCCCAAAAGCTCCAATAGCTACCACACAAGACCGATATACGCGGTCCACAACCACGATCTAACCTGTTTATGAGAACTCCCAGTCTCCAAATCCAAACAGCACGCGAATCACCATATACGAACCCAACTCCACCGTCCGAATATACAACACACCTCTAATACACAATCATCCCACGAGAGGTACTCCTATAATTCTTCTTTGCCACCAAGCAACTCGGATATCAGCAGGCGATCCAGCAAGAGAGCACCGCTATGCTAATGAAGTATCCTCAACTCAAACACATCGCCTTTCCTCAACTGTATACCCTCATCACGCCACACCACTCGCTTTTTGGTGTTTGTATAAAATTAATAAAAACATGTATGTGGTTGTTAGATAAAATTATATCGCTTAACCATAATTTATTACTACATATTCTTAATGCCATTTATCACATAACACCAATAATTTCCTAATCGAGAAACTTTCAGAAACTACTATGTTTTAGTGGTTATTAGCTAGTTGTAGCTATAATTTACTATATTACTTCCTATATCTATGTTTTCAGGTTTTTTAGAGTGTATTAAATGTATTTAAGCTACTGTATTCATGAATACAGTAGCATTTCTAGGCGTGAAACATGGGATTACAGCTAGACAGATTTTTGTATTCGACTGTATTCACGACGTAAAATATGGGATTACAGCTAGATAGATTATTGTATTCGACTATATTCACGATATGTATTTGTGAATACAGCAAGGGTGGAAAACGGTCCGGGCCCGGGCCTAAACGGGCTTCGTGGGCCGGTCCTAAGTGAGCCGGTTCTATGTGGGCCCGGGCTTCGTGGGCTTTTGGATGTAACCGAACCGGGACCGGGACCGGGACCGCGAACTAATGGTCCCAAGCTAAGTGGGTCGGGCCCGGGCCCAATTGGGCCTAAGTGGCCCTGACCTATTTTTTTAATTTTTTTTTAACTAAGGCAATTTTTTGTAAATTATATAACTTATATATATATAATATATAATATATATATATATATATACTATATCTATATCTATAATATACATATATACTATATAAATGTGTGTGTGGGGGGGAGGGGGGGGGGCTAAGTGGCCTGGCTTTTTTTAAAAATTTTTTTACCTAAGGCAATTTCTTGTAAATTATATAGCTTATATATACTATATCTATATCTATAATATACATATATACTATATAAATTAATTATATGTATGTATATATATATAATATATATATATATAATATATTATATATATTATATATATATATATATATATATATATATATATATATATATATATATATATATATATATATATATATATATATATATATATATTATATATATATAAATGGGCCTAATTGGGCCTGACTTTTTTTTTTTATAAATTTTTTTTACCTAAGGCAATTTCTTGTAAATTATATAGCTTATATATACTATATCTATATCTAGAATATACATATATACTATATAAATTGCTTATATGTATGTATGTATGTATGTATGTATGTATATATAAGTGGGCCTAATTGGGCCTGACTTTTTTTTTATAAATTTATATATATATATATATATATATATATATATATAATATAGATAATTTACAAGAAATTGCCGTATATAGTATATTGTCTTATATAAGATTGTTTATATAGTAGTATAGTATTATAGATATACTAATAATTTTAATATAATACAAATTGTCTCAAATCAACTTAAAATCTTAAATACGAATGTCTGGAGAACGCCTAAGATAACTCTTTATATGCCTCCTTAAACAGCCTATGCCCTCCAACTTTGGACAATGAGTGTAGACTCGACCACAGTTCTTGCACTTTATTACGCAAACTTCTTCATTTTCTTCTACCACATTAAAGTGTTCCAAAACATATGGGCGCAATCTAGAATCACCGGGCATGATTTAACTTGAATTAAGAATTTGAGTTTGAGAAATGAGAGATGAGTGAAGACTTGAATACTTCAATTTGAGTTTGAGAAATGAGAGATATTGATGATTTTGTGAGAAAAATGAAAGAATGAGGGGGTATTTATAGTTGAAAATAGGAAAAAAGTGTAATTATAAAAAGTTTGGGGTTAAACCAAAGGTGGGGGATTAAATGGCTATTTTAGAAAGCCCATACAGCTATTGTTGCAGGCCAACGATCATTTTTTAATGTTGCAACGGCTAAAAAATTTTTTTGGGTTTTTTTAAAAAAAAAGTAGCCGTTGGGCCCGTTTGAGCTCGTTTAGGACCGGTTGAACCAGCCCACTTAGGACCCGGTCCCGAGCCCAAACGGTCCCGGTGCTAACGGGTTTCTTCAATGAACTGGCCCACTTGGGCCTCAAGCTCCCTGGTCCCGGGCTTAAACGGGAAGGCCCGTTTAGGCCCACTACCCATATGGGCTCGCGAGCTTGGGCAGGGCCTAACCGGACCACTTGCCACCCTTAGAATATAGTAACGTAAATAGCGCAACTCATGGTCTATTCAGCTGTTTTTAAACGAAAAGTGAATCAATTAACATAATAGACTCCTAATATAACTCAACAAACCCAATTATAATACACAAAATTTCTATTTCCAGTTATAAAAATGATTCTCAACCGAAAAACACCCCAAAAATATAGCAATCTTCATAGAAATTATGCTAAATATTTTTTCCAGCCGATAAATACAACAAAAATAAAGCAATTTGAATACATATATACATCTAAATACATAAATTATATTAATTAAAAAAATATATGAATACATTCATGGAATACAACGAGGCAGTGAATACAATGAAATACATGGAATACATCGAGATACATTGAAATACAATGAAAAAAAAGACAATGAATACAATGAAATACATGGAAATACAACGAGATACATTGAAATATATTAACAAAAAATTCAAGTTGCTCAGCCCCAAACTCCGTCGTCTTCGTTCAAGAACAACCCTA